AGCGACGAAAGGTGACAGTAATCATTTGGGAGCACCGATGCCCGGAGAAGTGATTGACATCAGAGTAAAAGTGGGCGATACTGTCGAAAAAGGTGCACCATTAGTTGTGCTATCTGCCATGAAGATGGAGATGGTTGTGCAAGCGCCTAAAGCGGGCAAAATCAAGAGTCTCGAAATCAGCTTGGGCATGAGATTAGAAGGAGACGATCTCGTCTTGACGTTTGAATAGACTCTCGCGCTGATGGAATTGACCTAAAAATCAAATCGTGTAAAGACAACACCAAATATTTATTCCTATCTATTCTGATAGTGTGTGTGTGGAAGACAAGATCTTCAACAATCTTCGTAAGAAGTTTGAATGCCTTGGACTAAAAGTTTTCGTTTAATATTATTTTAACATTCTATTATCGATGATTATTGATTTTGGATCCGGAATCGTCGATAAGTGTTTATTATCCAAGAATTATTATCGCGCATTGATAAACTTTTCAAAATGATTGTTACGTACGTTTATTGTCATGTTTCTTTAAATAATTTTACTTCTTAGATCGTATGTAAGAACACATACGGAAATTTAAAAACGTCCATCTATACATTGAACAAACACAACAGTTCTATTTAACTTAAACATGAAGTTTAATGTTGAATTAGTTATTATTTATCTAAAATAATCTTTGTTTCTATTGAAATGTTACATTTTCATTTCAGAGTATTAATCAAAATGTTTTAAATCTTCTATAATATATATATTATTTGAAAATGATATATGTAGGGCCAATGTGATTAGTACTATAATTAAGATTAATCTTATAAAATCATACAAAGCTGCCTAAAAGATTAATTAATTTGTACATTTATACTGTATATATCAGATAGTATCTTGAGAACTTCAAAAAATTGACAATAATACCGCTATAAATTTTCCAATATAAAACGTTCTGAAATAAATAATTAATAAACGCTCTTACACATTTGATTAAATGAAAAAAACATACATTATTTTTTTCTTATATCTTATTCATAAGTAGATTTCTGAGATAAATATCAATAATTGTGATCAATTAAAAATATAAATATAGTCAATTCAATTAAAAAGTATTAGCTAACAAAATTTTCTTAAGGAAGTTAATTCACACGTTATAGCATATACAAAATAATTATATCGATATGATCCAGTTTATCTGCTTATACTGAACAAAAAAATGGAAAAAAGATCATGTATCTACTTCAGCATGATTTTATAATAATTATAAAGCGTGTAAATATAAACAATTACCTTCATAATTTAATTACGATATTGAGCTAAGCCTTCACGCGAACGATTTAGCAAGTATGTAGAAAAAATCATTCAGGGAACAAAGACTAGAATATTCCTGAAAAGTTTTACTTTTGTCTTTTCAAGATTAACATAAAATGTTACATTTTAAAAAAAAAAAAACATTTTAGAAAATCATAATTAAAAAAATTTATTTTGATAAATAAATTTTAATAAATTATAAAAATTATTCTCGCTTTATAATTTTGTAATATAATTTTATTTACGCGCAGATTTACCGAGAAATTAAAGGTGTAACAAAATAATCTTTATAAATATGTACATAATTGTGCCATAAACACGTATGTAATATTCTGATTGTATAAATGTATGTTGCATTTATTGCAACATTTCTATTATTGTAAATTATATGCAATGTTGATAAAATATTTTTTAAGAAAATGATTTGTTAGGAAATAAAGAATTTAAGAAACTGCGTTATTGTATGACATAAATATAACATTGTAGATGTAAAATTATATTTTATATTGCATCAATATATTTCTACTTTAATCATTTTTAGAATCCGTAATAACTTGTTCCTTTACTTAAAAATAAATAAATTATATTTCCTAGTACTTTTTTCTGATTAAAGCATAAAAAAATTATATTCTTGTAATTAACACATTAAGTTATTTTTAATATCTTTTTAGTATCTTAAATTAAAGAATATTTTTTCAAAGAAAACGTAGTTTTTATCTTTATAATTCTAAATTTAATTATTTCTAATAAAAAGATTTTTGAAATACACTATATTAAAGATTTCTTGTTAGAAAATTGTAGAAGGAATAATTATGTATTACTCATCAATTCTTATTGTGTCAATAAATTTCGTACCTTATATTTACACACATATATTTTAATCATTGGATTAATTTAAAAAATTAAATAATTTCATTACATATTTAATTTCGATATTTTAGATATACTATAGAAAAGTATTTTATATTTTCTTAATTATTTTGTATTAAAATATTTTAAAAGTTTAATATAAATATTTTTTAAACCATGCTATTATATGTATATTATTTTATTTTGTCATATTTTCCAATTAATACGTTGCTTTAAAATAATGTATTATAAATTTATTTAATGTTATAATAATACCTTTAACAATATCTTTAATTTTTTTTGCAAAGACGAAAAGATTAATCACTAATTAAAAAAAGAAGGATAGGACTATAGGAAATAATCAGAAAGCTTGAGAGTATTCTGTAAAATTCGAAGCTTAGACGAACGGAGTGCATCCATTTATTGTAATAACCCATCATATACTCGAAAGGAGAAGGTCGTAAAGAAGTTTTCATGATTCTCTGCAAATATGCGAAAACATGGCAATAGACTTATGATCTTTAAGTCCAGGCGTTTACAGGTCGTAAATGACAATAGTAAGAGAATATGTCACCGAACGCCGACAAATATATATATAATATATATGTATATATATAAAACATTGTATAAGTTAACATTTCCGACTAAACTCTTATCGGTGTATCGAAATCGATACAATATAATTACAATATATCTGTATAATAAATATGAAATATCGATATATATGTATACAATATATATATCATAATCGTAATAGTTCTGCTTTGATATATTTAGCAATATCTTGTCTGAACGATAAAGAGAATCTTTTTTTTCGGTATTTTTGTTTTTTGATAAAGTTTCTCGAGATTACTCGCTAAGAAGATCGGTCCCGAATTTTCCACACGTTGCGCATCCATTAAAAGAAACTTGTCGTGGAGACTGCTGTCGAACAATTTATACTAAAGCGATTTTCGGTGACTAGATACTTCGAAACCGTAGACTCCTCCGCTTACAAGTACGTACGCTCGTAGTAACATGATATATGCGAACTGGAGGTAAATATGTGTCGATGAGAAAGGTAGAGTGAATTAGTGAAAGACTTAGGAAGGCAAAGAGTGGACGAACTCTTAAAACTATCGATCCGACCGGTGGATTATTTTACGAATGATTCGTAACGTCAACTCGTCGAGTCGATAGTTCGATAGTAATTGCTTGTTGATAAACTTCCCCATTGCATTCGTCCAAATGAAACAACTAATAATGAAATTAAATTATAAATGCAAATAGATATAGCTACGGAACTTGCGTTTCACATCGTCACCATTATTAAATAATGTGAAGTACGTGAGGGTCGAGGGAAGAAAGTCTACACAAAGGCTAAACTTTCAAGGTTGCCGCATCTGATAAAATGCGCATAACATAACACGCGATTTAACCCTTTATGATCCAAGGTTACATCATGCTGATCGGAGGTGGCGAGCATTTTACACTTATTTTGCACTCATATCAAAGTTATTCTGATATATCAAGGCCACTCCATAATCGCGAACGTTTAAATGAGTATTTATTCATACTTGAATCACAAAGAGTCAATCGTAAAATCAGAAGAACAAATATTTATGATAAAGTCTAAAATAGGAAGTAATAATTCGACTGGCTTAATAAGATATTCAATATCTCTATACAATATCAAAAAATAATATTACACCTTAATGGACAGAAGAACATATTTTGTGCTTATCTTATTTATAAAGCGGATAGAGAATTTAAAACATTCGTTGTAAAACTTGTTCCTATCGTCACTAAAGCGACGCGTGTTCGTTGAGTCAACAGGTTCTTCGATGTTAACAATTGGTCGCGTGACGATGTTGTGTGTGTATCCACTCGAGTTAATAACGCCAATTAGGGAAGCCGCTCAACAAGCGAACATGTATCTCTTAAGAATCGGCTTTTAGTATAAACAGTAGGTAAGTATAGCGTAGGTATTCAAAGTAGAAAGTGTAAAGTATCACAAGAATTACAATAATCGTAATAATTACGTTACGTCGCAAAGATTAAGTTCTTGACCTTACTACATCGATCGCACAGTAATTATAAGCGCTTTTAATCGCGTCCCGCGCTTCGAGCACGCGCCGATAGACAAAGGGATCTCTATCAAGTCGGATAATTCTCTGTAAATACATCAGTCTTTGACACAATAATTATAATAACACCACTGACAGAGTAAAGCCGTGAGAAATATCGCTTTATGGCATGGAGACGAAAGTACTTATATAAAATACGATTCGAGTTCGGAAATAGGTGATCGAATGTGCTACATTTGCTGGACGAGAGCACCCCATCCCGGATAAATTCTGCGAAGGAGACTTTAGTAGAAGAGAGAAAATGTATTTCAATGGAGTCCATTAATACGATGCATAAGCACTTATCGAGAGTATTCAAAAAGCAGCTCAGCAGAATCGTTCTTCATGCGCGGCAAGCCAAATCACTCGATTGAATAAGAATAAGACGTCAATCCCGTTATTATATTGCAAAAAGTGCGTGTTTCTGTTATCGATATACATAGATTTTGATTGTGATAAAACATGAGATTTTTAAATCTTTTTATCTAAGAATCAGAACATCTCGATTAATAATATAATAGATAAATAATTATTAACAAATATTAGAATCTTTTTAAGACCGCAAATGATAAACAACAAATAATTATTACTTGCATTGATAATTTTATATACTCATTGGTTTCACGTTATCCAAAAGTTTTTATATATAAAGTTTATATATAAAGTTTTATTCGTGCTAGAATAGAAGGGCAAAAAAGTAATAAATTGATAAATTTATCTGAATTATCTAGAATGTTCATTCACGACGGTATAACAAAAACTTTGACAAAAGTATCACAACGCGATAATAAATTTAATTTTGCTAAAACCACCTCGGCTTCAGCTCGATTTTTGAGCAAACCCTGCTCAAATAGCAATACAATGACTTTATATTTGAAATTCTGCCGTTAGCAACAATGAACTAACATTATTATCAAATTTCGATCAAGTATTTTAGCCCACAATGGTGCATGCACCAAACCAATTCCCTTAGGCCATACAATTGATTTCCAAGATGTTTTATCAAAGCGTACGAACGTCGCGCTGCAATTCACGACTTAAGTTGCTGTAGCTTGCGGTTGAGGCGGCGTCGGAGCCTGTGTGTTGACATTTGGCCTATAAAATCGGTTAACTAGTTGTTTCAAACTCATTACAACACCTAGTCCGGTTCCTAGTTCCATGTTGATGAATGAGTCGAGATTATCCTTGCAAGCTGGAACGTACGAAATGAAGCCGATAAATAAAAAATATCATAAAAAGGTTTTTCTACACAAATATACACGCAGTTTAAAAAACCATGGTATAATCAAAATGAAGATTATTAGAATAAAGAAGTATTGAAAGACAATGCTGAGAAAGGAGTATGTAATAAGGTTCCATATTTTACTATGTTTATATCGAAATATGACATTTCCACAAAAGATCAGGATGCTGCGACAATCGAACAGGAAATCTTTTGCAGGTCCATAGAATTGTCTTAAGTTTCCTACATACTTGGTGTCGATATTGGAGGATAATCTGGCGGTGTCTTGATCCAAGTACCATCCTTGCGCTTCATGTGATGCCGATTCGATGCGAACTGTTGTAAGTACACGCTGGCGGGCACCAGACGGAATCTTCTGTGATACTCGGGCCGAAGTGCCTCGTCAGATCGGAAGGTTTCGGTCGCGTACTTCCAGAAATGCGTGGGAAACGGCAGGCAGCTTTCTAAATCATACACCACCGCCCTTTCGTCGGGTGCGTAGATGAGAATAGCATGGTAGTCCTACAGAGAAACAAGGCGACATTGTTATTTCAAATATCACAGAAGGTAGGAGGCAACGTATAGCATTTCTTAACTTAATTGTCATTACACTGCGATACTAACCCACACAACTAATTTGTCTTCATCCTTCCCCGATCGTTGGCGCCAAAGGGGAACGCTTCGTCGTGGGTTGCTTACGAAAACAACGTGACAATGCTGCAATTCGGAAGGATGTCTAGTCGCAACGTCTTGACAAAGCTTCCAAACGTTTTCTTCGCTGAAATTGAGTACAAACCGTCCTTTATCCTCGGTCTAAAATGTTTGTGTAATCTATTGATTCATTTTTCTAACAGAATACGATTTACAAAGGAATAATTATACAAACGATTGATAAAACGTTTGATTTGTTATTTACGTCATATTTTACCCATCTGCATTTTATTCTACTTGTTATTCATATCACAGATACAAATAATAAACAAGAGAATAAATTTAAATATAGATATTAATCGTTAATTCAAATTACATTCAGGAAAAAATCGAAGATTTATTTCATTAAGTTATTCACTATTTATGCATCATTATGTTGTACACATTAAAATATATAAATTATTGAAATATAATAATTAATAAATTTAATAATATAAAAATAATATTAAAATGAATAAAAGTAAGATTAGTATATAATATTAATACAATACTAAATCAAATTATACTACAGAGTGCAATTATGGGAGTTGCATACATGCGAAAAGTCATAAAATTATACAACATTATAACAACATAATAAAGAGAACATAAAGAATATTTAATAATAGCGTTAATTACAGTAAAAAAGCGCTCGATCTTTAAAGCTCACTCTGAAAGTGCAAAAATCACAAAGAATCGCCCTACAAAAGTTAAGAAAAAAAAGAAAAAAAGAAAATAACGTCGACACTGTTAGATCAAATAAACACGGTGCAGTTATTATCAAATAATCACAAAACGTATAAGTAAAATGCTAAAAGGAATTGCTTCACCTACCTGCTTACGTGTTCTGCGCAATTACGAGGGAAATGAAACCGATCTATAATCGTGCTCGTGCAAGCGGTTTAGCGCGACAACAGCTTCGCGTGCCACCACATTTCGTGCGCATTATTTATCGCATGCATTATTAATTGCAATAAAAGCGGGTTTGTGCATTCGCGCCCGTTTAAGCGGCACACGTGAACCAGCCAGCCGTTAAACGACGTGATGCCAGTACAGTTGTACTGGTGGGTGTCTCGAAATAAAAATTCATTTCGTAGAAAGAAAGCAGCTGAAGCGGAAAATGCGAATAAGCAGTCGCACGAAGCTCCCGTTAAATCTCTGACCTATATATTTATCGATCTCCTTAAAATAGGTTACTTTACGTCGAAATACATTATTTTTCGACAGAAGTCTCAATCTCTATTCGCGTATCTATAAATCAAGATAGCTCGGAAAAAATTCCAATTGACAAAACAAGAGTGCTTTATTTATTTCAAACGTAGTCCAGTCCAGACTTGAAAATACGCTCGATTTTAATTATTAAACTTGACAATCGAATAGTAACAGCGTTACGACACGCTGTTACCATTCGAAATTTTACCTTTCACCGTCAAGAATTACTAGTGAAAGCAAAAGAAGAACGTGCTCGACAGGCAATTTTGTATAGCTTCGAATTGCGCGCCGCGAAAAGATGGCCGCGCGTTCTCGTGCGGTCATCCGCACCGCCGCAACGTATCGATCGGTGCATGCCGCAATACGGCGCGTTTGTTTGTCTCTGAGGATCGATCGGGGGAACTTCGACCGGGTCGAGGTACGCTGTCGCTAATTACGGTGACGCCGCGGCCACGCAAAGTCACTTACCAGTAGCAGCTGGTGTTGACGCAATCGGATGCCTTGGTGAAGAGCGGCACCAGGGGCTTCGCGTTCCCGGTCACACGAGGTTCCACGGCCATCCTGCGGACGTACCTGGAGGGACGCGACGTGAGATAAGAAGCAGGCCGAACACGCACCGAACACGCGGAAACACGAGCGCGTTAAGCGAACCGTGTCAATCACCCTGCGAGCCTCATAACGAGACGCTAAACGATCTCGAACTACTCGTCCTCGTTCTTAGCCGCGACGCGCACACCCAACCGGTCGGGGCATTGTTTAACTACTGCACCTCGGTGCGGGCGGCGCGGTTCGTTTAAGCCAGTGTCCCCAAATCGAATGAGGAAACCCCACCACGCGGCGCTCTCATAAATCTTTGCGCACCTGCGCACTACGCACCATGACCGCCTTGAAGACTGTATTACTGCGGGCGGTTTTGGGCGATTTTCATCAAAATAATTTAAATTACATTCACAAAGTCGAAATACATTATATTTTATACTTTGTGACAACCTATTTTTTTTTTTTTAATTAAATTAATTATAATATGTAAGATATGCGGTTTGATTATTTAATTTTTTCTTTGATCCTTGTATGCTCTTTGTATTATATAGTTGTATTAAATCATAGTCTCTCTAAATGTCTTCTTCGAGAAAAGTTTTAGGGTTGGTAAAAGAAAGTTTTTTTTTTTTATAACAAAATATTGTTTTCGTTTTAAATATAGTTTTATATTTTAAACACGTTTGAAATAGTAAATATATTAAGAGAAACTTGCCTAAAATATGTTTGAAACATCAATTAAATATGTTTAACACGTATTTTCCACCAACCTTGGAAAATTTTAAGATATAATAGAGTATTCCATAAATTCTTTAGAGTAAAATCTCACTTTAAAAAGTAAAGACTGAGTAAATCGTGAAAAAAAGTGAGTAGATTTCTCACTCTTTAGAATAATCTATACTGAAAAGTGAAATCACTCTTAAAAGATGAAAAGTAAAAGAGGGAAGAACGGATGAGGAAAGAAAAACTTTAATGTTTGTTAAATGTTGATTTTTAATGTTTTTTAAATGCTTTCTTTTTTTTCGTAAGAATCCTATTTTTACAAAATATGCACTGAAGAATAGAGTGTGATCATCGCGCATGTGTGGATCTTTCTCTTGATTTGGTAACATTGCGCCCGATTGCGCTGACACATGGCGTGTACTGGCGTGTATATACCTGCACATGTAACGCAAGAATAAACACGAGATGCAGTGCGTTTCTTACTCGCGTGCAGATTTATTATCGCCGCGCGGGTGATAAATAAATTCAATGAAAAATAGAGTAAAAAAAAAAAAATAAAGGTTATCTCGCTAGCCTCGTTTATATTATGCGAGAAACTAAGCCTCATATTTAAAATGTTCCTATTTACATTTTAAACACATTCTAATTACTGTACTTTTTATCCATAAATAAAATGCATATTAGGAACAATAAGGAAACAGCCGCAGTTTTAATAAAATTTTAACATTTGATAAATATTATATACAAGAAGCCCAACGAACGTTTGATTTTACAGGAAACACTTGTCTATGATATAACCTTCATCGATTGTTTCGATAGATTACATACATCGCTTGTTGATATAAATTAATAAAATGGACATTAGAAACAATAGAAATAGCGTCTTCTTATTGTTAGTTGTAATGGAAATTATCGTACTTGATAAATATTTAATATCAAATTGATGTTCTGCGTATCATTCTACAGGAAACATGATTGTCTGTAGCCTTCTTTAATTGTTTAGAGCGCGTGGCTAGTTGAATTTATTATCATCCGCGCGGTGATAACATAAGATAAAAACTCCGGATATCACATGACTCGCGTCACGGATATATAAACTTGTCGAATACGTCACAGTTCACACTCACTTTGTAGTGATTATCAAGTGACACTAAAACGCAATTTGTCGCGTTTATATTTCTTCGTATACAGGTTAAAGTCAAGTAATAATCACGATAAACAATAACTATCGCGACGATGGCTATAAATCCTGCGAAAGCTATACTCCGGCAAGGAAGAACCGCACTGTTTATATGCGATGTCCAGGAAAAATTTGTGAAGGCCATATTCCAATTCGATAAAATAATTCAAAACTCAACGAAACTGGTAAATTCATCAAATTACATATTTCATTGTACGATTTATGTTAGAACTTAGACACATGTTGAGGTTATGTTATTTCTCATAATTACATGACCTGTTATTTTCAGCTGACTTCTGCATAAGTCATCTTTTTTTTCTTTTTCTCTCCATGTAGGAAGAAAAAAAGGATGAAAAAAGTGCAAGAAATTGAATTAAAACAAACAGATTCAAGACCATCCAGTTTTAAATTTATATTATTGCTGTGTAATTGTAGTACAAAATACAATTATTTACAGATTAGCGCTCTAAGAATTTTGAATGTGCCTATGCTGGTGTCCGAACAGAATCCAAAATCTTTGGGGAAGACTATTCCTGAACTTGATATCTCTGGAGCTAAGGGACCTTTCGCAAAGATGCAATTTAGTATGTGTACTCCTGAAGTAAGTACACATTATTTACGTTCTGCAAATAGTATTAATATCAGATACATAAATGTGTGTTTTACTCTCTTTAGATTAATAAAGAGCTTGCGACACTTTGCAATGGACAAAAACCAGAGTCTATCATACTCATAGGTGTCGAAACACATGTCTGTGTAGAAAATACAGCTGTTGATTTAAGACAATATGGCTATGAAGTTCATACTGTGGCAGATTGTTGTTCGTCACGTACTCAAGAAGACCGATTACTAGCTTTGGAGGTATGTTTTAGGCATGTCCTTTTCAACTAAACTTTTTGTGTGGTTTATTTTTCATTTTTTTTTTTTCATATTGGAGAAAAAGAGAAAAGATAAATTATGCAAGAAGTTCAACTAAAAAGAAAAACAGACTTACGATATCCAGTTCATTAACTATTTTATTGCAATGTAAATTTTGTAATTTTTAGATAAATTTTTATTCTTCTCTAAAAAGATCATATATTTTGATATATTCATTTATCAGGTTTATTGTCTTCTATCATATCTATTATTCAAATTATATTATTTACTTTTTCACAGAGAATGCGAGACATAGGATGTCACATAACCACTTCTGAAAATGTTATATTCAAGCTTATACGAGATGCAAGCAGTGAACAATTCAAACCTATACTATCTCTTCTCAAAACACCATCTTCATACACAGGGTTAGTTCCTGTCTCAAAGATATAATTTGAAAAGATTTTTTGGTATTTCTTCTATGTACACATTTTATACTAATGGGATATATATATATATATACATAAAGAAATGTAAGAGAAAGAATAACTGTAATATATTAGTTCATATACATAAATGATTCTAAGAAATAAAAAGATTATATTTTATTAAAATATCAATGTATTTATTTATGCAAGACAAAAACTTAATGTATATAAGTACTTAGTATTTGTAAATCAGATTTGTATCAATTAGGTTCAAATCTTTACTTCATTCCTGTTGAGCCAAATCCTTCCGCACCTCTACTCGTATCAGTTAAGGTATCTACTTCTTCTATTTTAGGATATGTAATTTTTTCACAAATTAATTGAGCTATGCGATCACCAGGTACAACTTCAAAATCCTCATTACTGTGGTTGAATAGTACTACACCAACATTACCACTGTTTAAAAAAAAAAGTAAAATAAAAACAATGGTTTTTACTTTTATCCATATTTTTAATCAGGCCTTAAATTTCAAGCTTCTTTAAATTCATCTTTAAATGCTCTATAGCCAATAAAATATTATAATTCATAGAGCATCTGATGTTTTTAGGAAAGCCTTAAATATAAAACCTGACTATGAATATTGGCATTTGACAATTTTGTTATTCTTTGATGCTTTCCAGCAAGATATAATATAAATGATCACTTTCTCTTTGTTTTACATTACCAAATAAAGATATAGTGATTCATTATGTTGTACTATATCATTTCTGTTTCTTGCTGAAAAGCATGTTTTGTCTCTATAGAAACTATATATACTAAATACCGATAATCTGCATCTATTACTCCTGCACCAACATCTATGTGATTTTTCCACGCCAGACCAGATCGTGGGGCAATTCTGCCGTATGTACCAAAAGGAACTTCTATTTGCAAATCAGTCTTGACTAATTCCTTGCCATGGGCTGGTATAATATACTTATATGCACTGTATCATAAAAAAAAACAATTTTAGAAACTCATATAATTTTAATCAAATTTTAACGATTGCTATAGATACAGAAATTTAACACAATGCTCACTAAATACACAATTATCATAATCAAAGGCAGCTTACTCACACTAAGCTTATTAGGTTACTTACTATATATCTATATATAATATATAGATATACATATTTATATGTATATTCTAAATAAATATTACTAATCCAGCAATTGTAGAATAATCGATATCACTATCTCTTTAGCAACTAATATTTGATAGAACAGAGTAATAGGAAAATCAGTGAAGTCAGAAATCAATGTACAGAAATGATGTATGTACCTTCGTAAATCGTAACCTGCCGCATATTCCGAACCCTTCATCGGTGGGTACGCTTTATTCGACAGCTTGGCGAACTTCAGCACGCTTCCTGACATGACGAAATTATTATCTCTCACAAATTCCTCGCAGTGTCAGATTCACAGGAATCACGAGTGCCTTAACAATGCCACGCTATGCCACGCCAGTTTGCCGCCAAAACGAGATGATCGTTGGTCGTGGCGGTAAATGCTAAACAGCTGCATCCGTTATTATTTATTTTTATCATCACATATTTTTATAAATGTGAAGGATACAATTAACTTATAAGATTGAAAAAAAAACGTAGCATATTTTGGCAATCGCGATCATTGAGTGTGACACTGTGTGAGACATGTGATAACGAAATTAGTAAATATTTTGGTATCCAGTCGTTGTTCGTACCGCGAAATTTAAACGTACAGATTTTTTGTTTTTCTATCTGTGAAATGAAAAACAAAAAAATATTATTTTTAAACCCTACGTATAATAGAGGAGAAATATTAGAAACAAGACTAAACATTAAATATTAGAAAATAATTTTTTAAATAACAAAAATATATAATATATTTATATTATTATAATTTATATTTTATTTGTATTCATTGTGCATTACATTTATCTTTCTATTATTAATTTTTTATATTTTTTTCTGTTATTTATTTCTGTCCCTAATATTTCATATGTTGTGCAAAGGACTTTATAGTGACTCTTTGACTAATTGACAATTGACTTTTATACTCTTTTCATGACATCAGTGCATGCCTCATACGGAAGCAATACTTCTCGTTCCTTCGAGACTGATAATGAAAAAAGAAAAAAGAACTGGATCTAATACTGTCAGAATATAGAACGGAATGGATGATAATGTACGGGTCTATATGGACACGTGTTCATATAGAGAACACAACAGTACAATATAATTAGCTACAAAACCGTGCGTTTTTATCGCAGAATGGTTAATGTTGGTGACCGACCTCTCATGCGGCTGTACAAAACTCGACATGCATAGATCGACATCGCTCGTACAGTGCGAAATGGCATCATCAAGGCGAAATGAATGCCAGTGCTTTTAGAGAAAAACTGCTTCTCCAATTCTCTCCACTATCTACAACCGCGTAAAGCGCATGTGTGATGCATGATGACCAGCATGCCATGCGAATAACAAATGAGAAGAGGAAGAAGACACGTAATACACGCGCGCGATTCAACACGATTTATTCCGACTTTTGTTCAATAGTCAGATTTACTTATGGTGGAAGAAACCAATCATGGATCCTTGGGTTTTTTCCACCGTGGATTTGCTGATTGTGACATGTTGATTGGCAAAATAATGACTCGTGTTACCGAAAAGTCTCATGTTTGAGCCATTTGAGCCAATTATCGTCAAGAAGATCGTTAATGCTCGTTCGCGTGATGACGGAACTGTAAGTACGTTACCTTGATTACCAACGAGATACTATTAAAAACCGACATTCTTATGTACTGTATACGTATTTAAAATATGATTATATTAATGTTTTTGTAAGAAATCAACTAAGATCTGTGGGGCTGTGTGGCTCCATGGCAAAACGGTGGCTTAGGCTTGCTAACACGAACTATTATGAGGCCTCGGTTCGAGTCTCGGCAATCACGTTCGAGCGTCCGACATTTTTTCTCGGCCCAGCTCTTACATTTTTTTCTCTTATAAATTCTATTTATATGCACACAAAATATAATAAAAAGAATAATTGACAAATATTTAGAAATTAAGAAAACGTTACTTTTAATGTTTTCTTAATTTCTCTTAAATATTAAACATCATATCTTAATTCATTCTTGCCCCTGAATCACCTTATTTTTAGAGCGATTGAGTGCTCCTTCGCCTCGTCGTTTTATCTAAGTATTTACAGTCGATGTATTAATTACTGCCCACGATATCGGTAAATGAATTATAGGCGTATATCCTGCTATTAATCGAGTCATCTACGCAGTGCCTTAATTACACTTGATATACATGCTACATTTTTGCTATATGTGGCGATTACGAGCTTTCCTTACCTGGTGATGTAACAATTACCTACTCGATCGTTGCTGCACGGGTGGTTTGCAACTTGCAAAGGACATTTTTGATACGATCGTTAATTTATACATATATAAAGCTGTACCTATTTTATGAAAAAATAAGGCAGAACTGTAATAAGTTCGAAAATAACTTAAATGTATAAAGAATCGTACGCTTCGGCCCTCAATATTGTCGACAAGGTCTGCACGTCCTGTCATACGGAAGTCGCAGCGAGTGTATACGCTTGATTGATCATCGGAAAAGAGCTAGCTCTAGTCAGATCGGTGGAGACCCTTGAACTTAACCTTATATCTTTAATAAAGCGCGATGTGATAAGAAAATTATCACAATTATCGGTTTCTAGAACTTGCTCCGCTCGATTTCATTTGGGATGCTGAAAAGGTCGGATCGACCAATTTATAAGCGATGCCGATCTGTAGCAATCTGTATTTATTCGTGAAATATTTCAGAGGAACTTGCATTTTTCCATTTAGACACTGTAGACAAATTTAAAATCTAGAGATTTATAGAATCGCATCAATTCATAAAATATTTCGATTAAACTTCTACTAATTTTCCAGTAAACAGGAATGGGTTGAAATAATATGTATACGAATTGAAATTTTTAGAAATAAATGCTTTTTAATTTACAAATGCATTTTATTTATAGAAATTGTATGAATTATGGCCTTTTAAACTAAAAATAATATCAATTTTTGTTACGAATCCAAGATATTTTTTAATTAAAAATTCTGAATGATAAATGTATAGTTTTTCAATCTAATTGAACCTAAATACAGTTTTAAAGTAAAAATGAACTATCTTTCAATACATTTGAATACTAAAGTAAAAATCCATCTCGTTTAATTTGTTAACACTATTTTCGGAGAAGCAATTTTTAGTAAAATGGCTTCTAATAAAATTTCTAATTATTATAAAATTCACTGTCTTTTTAATATTAAAAAAATTAGTAATTATATATTTACGCTAACAATTAATAATTAAGATACTACTCTCCCAATTATTATCTACAAATTAATTATTGAATAAAATAATTAGAGTTGCTAAAATATTGATAATTAAGGTATAATATTAATGAAAGAGATAATCAGCCAAAAGTATAAAATTTTTGTATAAAGTGTAGCTGTCCAAGAGAGAATCATTGAAAAATAATGACATTACAGAGTCTACGACTTTATCAGCTGTGTCGGTACATAGTTTACATCATTTTATGAAAATAATGTTGATGTCGCTAGTATACAGAGACTTTCACACGAAAAAGGCTGGAATGGCCGCTCTCAGGTTTCTCCCTGGTACATGACAATATTTTTTAGTAAATTAGCAGTTGATCCAACTTGACCACAATTTCACTTCAATTGTCGTAATTGTATCGTTTTTGTAACAATTTCAGTTTTACTGTTCAGTTTTAATATAATTAAAAAAAAAGAAATTTTAAGACTTTTCCCGAAGATTTCTGATCTTACTGCCCTTATTCTCTTACAAATTTTAAATCTGAATTGTTTTCAAATTTTCAATATGTCAAGTAAATATGAGGCAAATTTATCGAGAAATTTGTTAAATATGTGATTGATATATTTATGACATGGCATATAAACAATTGTGATATGTATGATTGTGATGAAATAATAAAATGCAATAAACAGAAATAAGTGCTTCGTATTATATTCTTATGTGTTAAAATAATTAAGGTTAGTGTATTCAACGAACCCATTTCTGATTTATTAAGTCGACTGCACAGCGTAGGACTTAGCTTTTTATTATAAGTGATTTATTTTATATTGCTTTTATTCTTAATATGTAAAATTTCTTTATGTTAAAAAATTATTTTAATATATTATTATTCTGTTTTGTATAATGCCTAATAGTTATGTATACTTAACTTATTCTAAATTAGTTTCAATTGCTATGTCAATTTATTGTTTACATTTGATCAAACTGTATGTTTTTCAGTATAGTGTGTATTTAATTTGAATAGTGTTTTCACATAAATATTATATTTGATTATTTTTGACTTTATTTATCTAATAGTAGTTAAACTTTAGTTTTTGTTTAAAGTATGCATGGTTTTTATTTGAAGTGTGCATGGTTTTGTTTAGTTCTGTTCGAGTTAAAATGTCGAATTCAGACGCTGGTGTGGGATGCATTAGTGAGGTAACACTTGCAATTAGTAAAGCAAGAAATTCTCAGGCGGTGAGAGTTCTTGATAGTCCCAACTCTGATGGATCTGGTCATTCGAATTCATTTACTGTGCAACGATTTAATTATACCACTAATAACAGTAACAACTCGGATATTCTTCAGTTACCCCTTACCAGCGATGACTTGAGAATACCTATTGTTGGTTATGAGATTATGGAAGAAAGAGCTAGATTTACAGTTAGTCAATTATATATCAATGATTACATAATTTTATTATTATATCATGTTAAACTTTATTAAATATTAATTCGAAGCCTATAATAGTCAAGCTTGACCATTATAGGCTTTGAATTTGTATTAGTTATGTTGTTACATTGACGGTGCTTAAAAAATTTAATATTGTTTATTAATATTATTTTAATATGTATTTCTCATTAATATAAAACAAATATATAAATATTTTACAGTAGTACAAATTCATTATATGGTAGTATATATTTTATTAATTTTAACAATACACCATTTTTTAAATATATAAATAATAATATATAAAAATATGATGCAGTAATGTTATCTAAAATGATAAAAGAATTGTTTTATTGCATTATATATCACAATGTTTTAAATATAAATTCTTTTTCTGTTCTTGATGTGTAGGTCTACAAACTTAGAGTTGAATTGAAAAATGGTGATTGCTGGTTTGTGTTTCGAAGATACACAGACTTTGTTCGACTATTAGCACAATTAAAAAGGCAAAAAGTTCCTATTGCCCATTTAGCTTTACCAAGAAAAAAATGGCTTGGCGATAATTTTGCTCCAAGTTTCTTAGAAGAAAGGATATGTGGTCTTCAAACATTTGTTAACGGCATATTGAGTAGCCCACTTCTTATAGGCGTTTCGTGTGTAAGAGAATTCTTCTGTTTGGATGAACCTCCTGTTTTATCTGATACAGCAGAAGAATCTAGAGTAAGTTATAATATTATATTTATAGATCTTAATTTTTTTCATATATTATTTTGCTTTACAAAATATTTAATCTTTTCAGGCAATCTTTGAGGCATTAGAAGATACAATATATAACTTGAGACAACAACTAAGAGAACGCGATGCAGCTCTTGCATCTGAAAAAACTCTTTGTAATGAATTCCGAAAAAAGCTTCATCAGATATTCAGGTAAGTGATAAAAAAATACTTTTGTTTTTCTGTGAAACATCATATTTTCAACTGTTTCAGTGAAAGACAAACCTGTTCAAAATGTGGTGCTACCCAATAGTAATTTTATAGACTATACAAATATGAGATCTGTTTGTTAATTTGTATAAATTTTAAATTTTATCAATGCTATATATTTTTAAAAAATATTATATAGCATAAAGATATTTTTAAGAACTTATTTTACAAGTAGAATATTTATGGAAATGATATTTAAACATATAATTGTATTAATATTAATAAATTATACCAATAAAATTTTATCGATATTACAGTCAACTATATACAAGATATTATTCACAAATTTTTGCATTTTACTATATGTATATTTAATACAATGATTGATATTATTCATTTAAATGAATTGATATAAATGTCTTATATTTTTTGATACATGTGTATATATATATATAAATTTATATTTACAACTTAGATATCTATGAAAAATTTATTTTTATATTGAAAATAGAGATACTGATTAAAGAGTGTATTTTCCTGAATTTTTAAGGAAAAGATGTGTGAATCTCAAATAATTATTATTTTAATTTTTATAAAATTTATATAATGCTTTCTGAACATCAGATTATATGTAACAATCTATTGTTTCCATTACAGTGAATTAAAACTTCAGTCGGTTATATAAAAGATTGAGGAGGATAAAAAGTAACTGTTATATATGTAATATCTTTGATACTTAGATAAAATTTTATGCGTTCTATAAATTTTATCTTTATCCTTATGAAAAATATACTTTTGGCGCGAGACGCTACCGCATTTCTTGATGCACCTATGTTTTATTCTATTTATATTTATGTAAAATTATCATTAAATATAAAATTCAAATGATAATTTTACTATATATTATTACCTATTGTAAAAATGTTACAAAAAAGTATATGTTATTAAAATTTTGTGTTTTAAAAACTAATTTTAGTATAGCAGTATTATATATTGTTAGATATAATAAATGTCTGACATTATACATAAAACGGAGTTTGTAATATTGTAATATAAATGCGTTGTTTTGTCGTTTAGACACTTATTATATCTAAAACATCAAAAAAATAATTTAATGTTAATATTGTAATATTGCATTATTGCAGTATATAAATTATTTTTCCTAACTGTTCGCGTGTTGTATTATTCTTATACATCTCGATATTTTTATATACAATACACTTTTATCTCACATACACATACAAACACACACAAAATAAAATAGTACATACATAAACTTAAAGGTACAAAAATTCTTCAATTTTTTAGTATAATATAAGGCACGTTGTTAATTCTTTTTATGCTTATTACACGAGCTAAATTTATAATTTATTTTGGTAATAAAAATGTATAGTATAAAATAATGTCGTTTTTAAATGTATGTGTGAGCAATTATTATGTATATATGCGTATGTACTTTATACATATATATTTACAACAATAGTAGATTCAAAAAATATTTGGTCAGTCTTCCTTTTTATCTGGAGCAACGACTAGACATAACATTTGCATGATGTATGTTAGCTTGGCTGGAAAAAAAACATAAAAACAAATTTTATTTTATTATTTATCAATAAAGTAAATTATGTTTGGTGTCAATATACATAAACCTCTTATGTAAGAGGTTCTTATATATATTTTTATCAAATTATACTCACCTGATAAGATATTTCCTATTTTCTTGTACACAAATACATGATATACGACAAGACCGCACAAGACGAATATAAATACGAACAAATATTTTATCGATGGTTCGTAAGCTATTGGAAGCACCGTAAGGAAGATTGAAACAATTAATATCAGCCAAGGTATCACAATAGGTACGGTATACGGTCTAGGAGCGTTTGATTTGGTCCGTCGCATAATTATGAGCGATATCATTGCTAGTCCATAAAACAGCCACATGAGAAAACTGGCAAACTCGATCAGAGCAATTATATCGCCTAGTAGCAGGCACGCTAGTGAAAGTAAACTCTGTAAAATCACTGCTGGGGCCGGTGTCATCTTCTCGATGTGTACATAACTGAAGACTCGTGGTACATGGCCCTCACTGGCGGCAACGAAGCACAGCCTGGCTACGCTGAATTGAATACTAAGAGCACATCCAAAGGTTGACAACGCTACACCGAGCGGTATTGCGAAGCTCATCCAAGAGGGCAAGACTCGGTTAGCCCAAACTACCGCTACCGCTGGTGCGCTCTTCATCTCCGACATTGTCAATGCTGCCATATACATCAAGTTCATGGATACATATAGAACGGTGATGACGGGGACGGCGATGAGCGTGCTACGGAGGATATTGACTTCGGGTTTCTGGATTTCTTCAGTAATCATCGCGGTCGCAGTCCATCCATCGTATGCCCAGAGACCGCTGTAGAAGGCCAAAGCAATATTGCCAGCCGACGTAGTGGTACCACGAAAAGGATTACTGAGAAGTTCTACATGACCTGAGCCCAACCACCATATTCCGCCGATGATTACTACCATACAGGCGACTACTTTGCATACAGTAAACACATTCTGCACTTTTACATAGAGTTTGACGCTGATGAGATTAATGTACGTTATCAAACCCAATGCCATAATCGCTATTAACTTTTTCAGCGTTGCCATAGAGTCACTGGATAGATTACAAAGATATCCAGAAAACGGTTGCACGCTATATTCCGCGAAAGTCAATGTAATTACTGCCACTTCCGCTGGTCGTAACAGTATCACAGAGATCCAAGAACAGATAAATGCTGGCATCTGACCGGCGTAAGGGTGTAAAGGTTTGAAGGCCTCTATAAAGTATGCATATTCGGCACCAGAACGTGGTACCACAGTACTCAATTCGGCGAAGGCCAACGCACCTAATAGAGACAGCACGCCACAGCTGATCCAAACGATTAAGCAAAATCCCACAGATCCTGATCGTTCAAAAGCGCTGGTTGGTGACACGAAAATGCCGGAACCTGAACAATAGAGATTGTAATTAATAGCAATTCACAGTTAGTAATATTCGGCAGAGTCAGCCACAGTAACTGACTAATGTTCCATGACGTGGATGATCGATTAATCTCAATTAACCTTTTCGACGATTTTAGTCGTATATATTTATTATGTTGATAAACAAAATATTTGTAGGCCAGTGTTGACAGATCATTATAGTCTGTTAATCATTGAGAGAACATACAGATCATTTGCAGACTGTGTGAGTAAAGTATTTACTGTTTTTTTATTACATATTATATTAATAAGTCATAAAGAATTTTTATTAGGATTTTAACATCGGGATAATCGCGATGAGAGACATGACATTATCTAATTGTGCTACTTAGTTGCAATGTTATAATATCGAATAATATAATTTTTGAGTGTAGATATAATATCAGTAGTTAATCCTCGTCTCAGTAAATTCTTTGGAGATTCTACAACAGATAAAAGATAAGATCCGTCAATGAAAGATAACGCTCCAAGAATATGAAATTTTTTACTAAATGTTAGTAATTAAACCATGTAAAAATAGACGTTTTAATTAGAAATGTTTAGTTAATTTGCCCGTTTTTTATCAATATAGTTTAATTTTAAATTGGCTCAATTAACCCTTTATCTTTTTCTAGTTCTAAAAATTGAACAGAGATTAAGCTAATCTACATTAATAGCAACGGGCAATAGACTTTAATTACTGAGTACTCTGTTTATGCTGCTGTTGATTTGGGCATATATAAATTACTTTATGATTATAACTTTTTTATTGGTTTTAAAGAACATGTGATCTTGTATCTTTGTGATGTTATATCTTTTACTATACATCTAATATCTAAGAACGCGTGAGAAAGCATTTCGGTCACCGTCAATTAACTGTTAAAATTTAAGGGCTTCAATGAATAAAGCGGTATTTTATTTGGGTCTGTACAATTATGTAATTACTGTTAACTACTTCTGAATTGCCATCTTGTACTAAAGGCTATCACTACAGTTCAAAGAATACCGTAATTTATGATTATTACTTATTATGCCGTTTTAAAATATTAATAAATGTTTTTGCGATTATGTGTTATTTACAAGCATTACAAATACATTCTAGTATCTTTATGATATACGATACATTCCACCGCTCTATGAATAATGATAAAAAAAGAACACAACAAGATTATTTTATTAGCACAAACAAAAGTTAGTGACTTTCTTGATTCCTAAAGATACTGTATTGTTTTATATAATTTGGCACTTACGCGATATCTCACGAAACACAAAAGAATTAAAACGAATTGATGATTATATTTATGTTCTGCAAAATAACATTCTTCTTTAATTTTCAAAATCAAAAAGCCGTCGATTTTTTATTAGATTTATTTTATCACGTGCTTCCTATGTTATTTTATAGTATTTTTAATATGTTTTTTTCACTGACTACATTTCAGACAAGTTCTTTTATTTTTTATTTGTAGAACTTCTTTTGAAAAAAATTAATTAATTGCGATATAAAATATTATAATCTTTGATTAACTTGAAAAAAGAGTGAGAATAAGACAAATAGAATATTTAATAAAATAAGAGAGTGGAAGGGATATTATATGCCGTCATTTTTTAATAACAATTTGATACAATTTGACGTTGCAATTTTTTACTATAATGATAACTAAACGCTGAATATGATTAATTCCGATATAATATTATATGTTGTGTAAAGTCTAGGAAAAATATTTGTCGCCATATTACGCGATATTTACTGAAAATAGTAAGAAGTAACTTATAATGCATCGACGCATTACTTTTTCTGTTACAAATAACGAATAAATATAACTAGTTACAAATAAAAAATAAAAATTACGAATAAAAAATTAAATTGTACTTAAATGAGAAGGTACTTTTTATTTAGTAATTAGTGACTTTTCAAACCTATACAAGTAATACTTGGACTTTTCCAACTCTGATGTACCGTCATAAAAAATTTGCAATGTCATTATACATATATAAAATTGTTATAATAAACTAACGATAAACAATAATAAAATTGGAAACAAGTTTTGAAAGCAATGCGTACTTCGATTCTCTGTTTAACATTTTTGGAATACGTTCTTTACGTTTTTCGTTGAGTAATAACGCATATTTTTGCATTAATTTTTATCATACATAATTACTTTCGATTGTTATTTAATCTTGATTTAAATAATGCTTCTCAGTCTAGTGGATAAAAATAGAGTTATTTTTACGTCACTTTTGACACAATTCTTTTTATTTGCTAACGAATAAATGTGGTTGTTATATTAATATGCTATTACTATTTAATACTATAAAATTAAATTGAATGGTTAATTATTCATTGTATCGCTGAACAATGCCGAATAAAAATAATTTTTATGACTTAGAGTAAAAGCGCGCATCATGCCGGATCTTTTTTTAGCACGATACTGAGGATTTGAACGTCTGAGATCTGGCCTTCTTTGTGTTGCATTACGATTTATCGCACGAGCGCGATTACGAATGGGAGGAGTGTCAGAGATCGACACTCGGGAATCCGAATAAAAATAAAATATAATGTGTCATGAATTTCCATTTTTATTATCTTTATCGTTTATACTGTTGCAATCTGTGTTGCATTCTCATAATTTCTATATCAAACTCGCGAAATATGGCATGACACGAGCATCGCACGCGGAAATAAAACGTACAACATATAATGTTTAATGTAAATGTATGGCAAATATAGGAGATAAAATCTGATCGAGATCGGATTGCATTTACAGGCGACGATTGAATTTATAATTTGTGTATTCACGCGGAAAATTTATAGATTTTCATAATCAAGATTTATGTGTTACCTATCATCACTGCCAGAATGATGCTGACCGCGCTGAAAAGTCCCAGTTCTCTCTTTAACTCGATTTTTCCAACCGTCTTCTCCTCGCTTGCCATTTTTTTCTGTTTGTCGAGACCGAGACAAGGAATAAGAGCGCGAAGCACGTTGCACGCTCCACCGACACTGTCAACAGTGATTCAAAATTCAATGACACATTGCATGGACGGCCGGCCTGTTCGACGATGGTGGTGGAGGCGGCGGCGGTAGTCTTTATCTTCTCTTCTAAAACAATCGTGAATTCGTCGGTGCTCCACGCGCAATGGTAACGAGCTCGACCACGCGACTGAAGCTATTGAGTGAGTTTATCACGGTCGGAGCTTCAAATCGGGACTGAACTCAATGGATCAGCTTGTCGCTTTTTCGCAGACATTAGCACACTGATAAGGAGATACTCATCCTCGTCATAGATACTCCGCTATTTTTCTTGATCGGGCGCTGAGCTAGCCAGAAAAATGTATTGATTATATTAACAAGAAGTTTTATTAACAGAATGCATTTTGACCATATCAGTTAGAATATTTGTTGCACAACTGAATTTCCAGTTATCTCAATTAAAATAATATTTTGACAGATTTAATTATATATACATATACATATATCTAATGGTATATATTGAATCAGAAATAATTGTTTCTTTTAAAATTAATGTTTAATAGCTTATAAAATTAACTTAGTTATAATACATTAAAAGTTGCATGTATAAACAAAAGAACTTGATTAAAAGTTTAGATTAAATCGACTGAAGTCGAATTAAAATTTAATTTTAAAAAGCATTATTTATATTACATTAAAATGTAATTTTTTGAAATTATATTACTCCAAAGGAAAAAAATAATTACAAATGAGAATTATAAAAATATTTTATATATAAAATTATATAGAAAATAAAAATGTGCTTTTAAATCAACTTTTCTTATTTCTCCTCTTTTTTGTTGATTTGAGAAAAATGCAAGTGACTTTGCAATAACGAGACATTACGCGATTACGCCATTGAACATTTCTCTAATTGTCTAATTATTTAATGTTTAAAATTTTGTATATAAAAAAAGAAATAATATTCAAAGAAAATGTATTAATATAGAGAAACAATTAATATATTATACATATACAAAATAATCAGTTGAAATTAAAAAGCTAACTCATTTAAAATTAACTGAATTAATTTAAAAGTTATTAACTTTTTAAATAAACTTTTAACTAATTAACTAGTTATTATTTAATCTTGATATCTGATTTATGCTTTTCTAATTGAATTTATCAGAGTCCCAATTTGTGCAGATTTTTTTTCCGGGAGATAAACGAATCTTTAGAAATTGTTATTACACAAACGCTAAACATTAACTCTTGAAATTTGTTTTCTGGCAATTGGCGATTACGTGAATAAGCGGGACTATGTTAAATGATTTGTTTGTCCGAATTCTCGAGGTAAATCGACAAAATCTAATCAGCTAACAAGTCGTCATAAAGCTTCTGTGCGTGCACAACCGATAGAAGGTTGAAAACAGGATTGTGCAAAGGATTTTTGGGGCCCTAATGCAAAAGTAAAGAAGAAGAACTCTATCTATTTATAAATTTTATATTAAAAAGCTTTGAGTGGTTTAGAAAATTCACAAAGTTAAGGAATTACTTAAAGTCGATGTTAAAAAAGATCAAATTCAAAATTACGTATTTTTGCGAAAAATTGTTGCAGAGAGGAATATATAAAAAATGTTTTAAAGCTCGAAACCTTATCTGTTGAATGCTCGAAACTTTATGTTTCTCTGTTATGATTTCACTACAGCACTTTAAAGTGAAATCCTAGACACGATGCGAGGTAACAGCGTCAAGAACAGCGATAGGAATAATATAGAAATAAGTGATATATAATTATTACCTTCCGTTGCAATGTTGCACAATGCCGCAAAAGAAATAAAAACTACCAACCAATCCAATTGCATATAAACTGTAGTACACTTTTCCATCTGTTTCAAGGTTATAGCTCATATAAACAGAATGAAAAATTTGATCGCTGATTGGTAGGATATAAGAGACACAGAATTCCGACTCATCGGCAATTTGTTCCTATTTTCTTATTCTGTGTTCCCCTGTATTCATTATAATATATATATTTTCAAATATTAGATTCCTCTGTTTCTATCGCTATCGTTGTCTCGTATTATGTTTAGGGCTTAAAATAAGCCTTACAAATTTGTCTGTAAATGTATTTAATTGTGCCGCAAATTTTTTAAATACTTTTTTTAATCATTGAGCTATGATTTTTTTTCAGTGAGATATACTGATTTAAAGTAAATGCATTCTTAATCTTTTTTTTTAAAACCTGTATTTGTCGTCAAGCCGGTATTCTGTCGCAACAATTTGAACTGACTGCATTTCTGATAGTTATTTTCTTGGCATTACGAAAAATACACAAGCATATTCGACATAAAGATTTTATTTTTCTTTTATATATATTATGCGCGTAATCATTATGAATGTATACCATGGATGTTTATGATTTATGTCATTCGACTATGATGTAATATAATATATAATTCGTGATAACTTTACACTTACACAATAAATTTGCAACGATTACAACGTGAATCGTTGCAACACAATTTGTGACAATAAAATCTGTTGTGAAGTTGTTACAAATTATGTGCATAGTAAATTTATAGAAGTAAAATTTTTATCGAAAATGCTTTTATTTCTTTTAAATATCAAAAAGATAAATATTTATAGAAATGTAGACACAATGTAAATTTTTGCGGCAGATTATTGGTGTGACAGCAAATGTAAGTTTTTAAAGGAAAGATTTCAAAAAATACTGTTTATTTTAAATTATTATAAAACAGAGAAAAAAAATTATTATAGAGTAATGCTAAAAACTATTTTATATATATATAAAAAGAAATTATATTTTGCTATACATTTGTAGAAATTTACAGATAAAATTTTGTTTTCTCCGTACATATTATCAAAAACTTGAAGTTTATAATATAATAAAATATAGAAAGCATAAAAGCCAACGCTATAAGTTTTTATAAAAAAGTCAAAAATTTTTGACCTTTATATCACATATTTTATGTCATATATTGTTAAATTAGCATTAAACGAATGTTTATAACATTTTAATTCGCAATAAGATCTAACGTTATATGGCTTTTATGTTCTTTTACGTTATATAATTTCGATTTAGTCGTTTATAAACCGTTTATTATTATATTTTTACATAATAAAAGCTGTTCTTTAATTTTTTAATAATGTTATTAAATTATAATGCCGATTTTTTTAAAAAATGGTATGTAAGAAAGGATATGAGGTTTCTTAAACTTTAAAGTGCTTTTTTTTAAATAGTACTCCGTGACTATTTTCTGCAAAGATATATTACATAACTTCGAATTTGTTCCTCTTTAACGCTGACATTAAGTAAATCCCTAATTTTTTGAACACTGTATAACGAAATGATTAAAATTATGATGGATCATGAGTAGCCAGTTGTATATTCTTGTAATAAAAAGTTAAGTATATAAAAGTCATTTGATGAGGTAAAAAATTGTATCATCGATATATAATTTTATATTAAGTATAAACATCTGTTACTTTAAAGATTGATTTTTCACGGACGAAGCTGATTACTTGTTATCCTTCCTATTTCCATAAAAGACTGCAGACTTTCTAATGTTCAATGTCGTTCATGCAACTAATTGCGCGTTTGGTTGTACATTGCCAGTAAATTAATAAGTTTACGCGCATGAAAGTTTATATACATTATTATAAATTTATATTACTACAGATGATGTTGTGTACACGATGATTCATTTTAAAATTAATAGGCACATTTTTTGATAATATACAATTTTATCAAAAAAACACTCACATAATAAAACTGCATTGTTGTATATCTCCTTCTACATCATACAATTTTTATATTTGAAATGTTTCTTGAAAAAATTGTATATTTTCGACATTTTTACTTGATCAGAATAAAATGAATGATTCTGTACTATATACTTTTAGTACTGGCAGTGTATATTGAAACACAGCTTAAATAATTGTATAACTCAGCAAAATAACATATCTTATTAATATAATATCTTTTTATCAACTGAAGCAAAATGATAAATATCTCAAATACTTTAAATGTTTTGGTTGAGTAAATGTATTTATGTTTTATGACCAATATTTTTTTAATAAAAATTTATATCAAGCTGTTCTTATTAAAAATTAATAAATACGTTGCTACTAGCTAACATACATTTTTTATAAAGCAAAATATATTTACAACATTGATATAATTGGAAAGTTAATTATTGATGTATATAATTTTTAAATGCATTTTTATGCAATAATGATAAGTATTTCTCTGTATAATTCTGCCCTACAGAACAGAATTATACAAAATTAAAGAATGGAAGTAGGTATAATATACGAGATTACTTCATATTGTTAGAGCGACTATTATGTTTTAAGTGAATAATCATTTTGTCTCATAATGTTTATAAGACTATTACTTCATCCACATATATATATATATATATATACACACATAATTTACGCTGAGACTGAAAATAAGACCCCGAATTGAGTTCTACAAAATTATTTTCAGTCTCAGCGTAAAATTATATCAGTTTCGTTGAAATACACTCGATTTAAGACAATAATTTGATAAACATCAATTGAATCTTGATATGGAAGATATTAAACACATTGTGTTATTGACGAAGGTATTTATATTTAATTGTGCCATATGTTATATCAGTCGCATTTGATATCGATAATTTATACGTGATATAATTCGTGCAATTTGAATACAATATAAGAAAGAAAAGATCTATATTAAAATTATTTAAAAAATATTAATTGTTTTTGTGTATATTTACTTTACATAATGTACGTCAATATAAATTGAATACTCCACAAATTAAAACGAAAAAGTAAGATTTTATACCCACGTAACACAGTAGCGCTTAAAAAGCGCTAAAAAAAAGCGCGTATGCAGGTGCATTACTTTAGCAGCTTTTTAGCGTTTTAAAAGCGCTTTCAAAATCCACTATGAAAAGCGCATATTATAAGC